CTTTTCAATATCCAAACACATTTTCATCTCATCAATGTAAATATTCTCTCAAGCTGCAAAGATAACAACCCAAATATGTTTGTTTTTTCTTTGTGACAAACATGTATATTTTCCCATAAGTTTGCTGTAAGAGGCCCTTTCAACATTTCAGAAGTATTTTTTCACTTAGTTCTTGCTGTCTTTGTCTCTCTCTGTTTCTGTCTTTGTCTTTCTTTTCTCTCTTTCCCTCTCTCTCTCTCTTACCCCCCCTTATCCCTCCATATTCAAGTTTCTTTAATGACATTTCTTTAACAACACCTTTTGCTTCAATTCTTCTTTATAACTTCTTATTTGTTATATGTTGCAGGATTATTCTTTGTTTCAGGAAAATATTTGAAGCTATTAAAATAGCTTTGTAATTTTACAAAAGAAATCCAATCTGCTCTTGAACCCAACTTTTCTTTTTTCAATATAAATTTCTCTATCTATCATACACATTAGAATATAAGCTCCTCTAGGACACAGATTGTTTTGATAATTTAGTACTACACCTGAAATATAATAACTGCTTAATATAAGTTTTTGTTTCAGGTAAAGTTAACAAGCATTTATTAAGTTACTACTATGTGCCAGGCACTATGGTAATGGGTGGAAATGCAAAGAAAGGCAAAAACCATCCCTATCTTCAAGAATATCACATTCTAATTGTGGAGACAACATGCAAGCCTCTATGAACACTGACTGAAAAAATAACAGTCTGCATTAAAAAAAAGATACCAATCCTCAAATGCATTTATTCCATGTTGCACATCATATCATATAAGAACATGCCTAAAGGGGTTTAGTGTCAACACTCATCTATTGCAACAAGCTCAAATTTCCATGCAGATTTTAACCTTATCTAATGAGAGTAGTCATCTGATGAAGCTATAACCCAGTATTTTTGCAAATCAACTTACTGGACCTTGACACTCCCTCTCCAGAGGTTATAATCTATCTTTTCCTAGTTGATTAGTTCTAAGTAGAGTCATAAAAATATAAACAAATGAATAAAGAATATTTCTCTATAAAGAGTAGAAGATGTGAAAGTGATGGACCTTCTTCTGTGTCTTTCTCTGAAGAATAATAAAAAGTGAAAGCCATTCTTCTAAAAGTTGTCATGGAATGTTCAATTACTCATCTTTCTATGCTGTACCATGGTATGTGATCCATCTCTATCTATAACAATACCTATATCTCTACATCTAGATCTATATTTTTACACACACACATTATATATATATATACATATATGTATACACTTATGTATACATACATACACACTTACATACATGCATTGTCAACTGCAGATTCAGAAGTAGGCATCAGATGATTTTAATTCAATGTAATTTTCTTTATACTAGACAAGCACAAATAACCAACTTGGCAAGAATAGACATTAATTTTCTTAATTTATTTTATGCAAGCAATGGGCTTGTGACTGAGTGCTATGTCTGCACTAAGAAAGAACAATTTCACAAAAATATAAGGAAAGGGAAAATGTTTACCATGGTCTGCTTTTTTGCAGAAAACTTCTAAAGTTAAAGGAATCAATGATATGAATGGAACATGTCTTTAATTTAAAAAGTAGATATACAGTGTGTTTTTCAAATAAAAGAGTGTTCAATCTTTTCAAGCATGGGGCCACTTGAACAATTTAAGGCTAATATTATTTTTTTTTAAATTTAACAAACACTTATTAAGCACATACTATGTGCCAAGCATTGTGGAATATAAAGACAAAAAAAAGGAGTCTCTGCCCTCAGGAAGCTTACATTTGATGAAACAGAAACAACATATATGCAGAAAACTAAATACAAAATATACAAAAAAGAAATTAAAAATGGAGATGAGGTTGAGAGTTAATACCATCTGCATTTGATTTTGAGGGGAACTGAAATCAGGAAAGGTCTCATGAAGGAGATAGCATTTGAGCTGACCTTAAAAGAGAGATAAGGATCCAAAGGGAAAGAAGTGAGGAGGGAGAGCATGGCAGATATAGGAGACAGCCTATGCAAAAGACTAAAGACAAGAGACGGAATGTATAGAGAAAAAGCAAATAATCATATGACTTACATACAATACAGGACCATAAGTGTTGAGTGGAATAAAAAGACCAACAAAAACAGGATACCTAAACACAAAGAACATTCAGTTCTTCCTAACAGTAAATTTAGTTATGTTTCTTTTTTATGTTTCTTTTATTAATTTATTTTGATTTATCAACAATCACTTCCATAAGCTTTTGAGTTATACATTTTTCTCCCTTCCCTCCCCACCTCCCTCTCTAAGACAGAGCACAATCTGATATAGGTTATACATATACATTCCTATTAAGCATATTTTCAAATTAGTGATGTTGTAGGTAGGAATTAGAACTGATAGAAGGAACCACTAGAAAGAGGAAATAAAACACAACAAAAGAAAAAAAAAATTGCAGTATCCTTCAATCTGCATTCAAACTCCATAGTTCTTTCTTTGGATGTGGATAGCGTTTTCCTGCATGAGGCCTTTTGAGATGTCTTAGACCCTTGCATTGCTGAGAAGGCCTAAGTCTATCAATATTAATCATCACACAACGTGGCTGTTACTGTGCACAATGTTCTTCTGGTTCTGCTCACTTCACTCAGCATCAGACCATACGAGTCTTTCCAGGTTTTTTTCAGAAGTCTGCCTACTTATCATTTCTTATAGCAAAATAGTATTCCATTACATGCATATGCCACAACTTGAACCTTGTTAAGTTACAAAGCAAAAAAAAACTGCATATCACCTAAGTGTTTTTGCATGATCAATCCAATCAAAAGCTTGAGGTTTAGAAATTAGAGGCAATATGTTTTTTTGTATATTTTTCTGAAAAGGATGGAAAATTTAAATTCAACAAGAATAATCAATAAAAGTGATTGAGAGTGTCAGGACAGATTGTTAAAAAAAATCTAACAAAAGATGGCACTTTTGGAAAGCCAATTCATTACTTTATGCCACAGGATTCTCTTCTAGAACATGAGTGGATTGCACTAAATTATCTCTAAGATGCATTCTACATATAGCATTCAATAAGATGATGATGCCAGGAATAAGAGTTTTCTAGTGGTAACAAACTTAGTGAGCTTGATAAAACTATTAAAGTGCTGCTATATACTTTGATTGCCTTTTTTTCATTTGTAAAGTAAATACAAGAAAACATTTTTCCACCTTGGCTTCACAGAGACATTATTAAGCCTTGTTTCAATGTACAATTTGAGGAATCAGCTGCAGAATTTTATCTGCACTCAATATAAAACCACTCATATTGCATCATGAAGAATAATTTAGAGACCTTTCTTACCTTGCCAAGCTAATTTGACCAGAGATAATAGATCTAATTTTTATTTTGCAGCTACATTGTCAGTCTTTCAGGGCACTATAAGAAGGTATTCTGAGAAATCACATCGTTACAATATATTTGAATACATAAACAAACTCAAGAGCCCTGATTTTAACACTGCATAATGGTCAGCAGACTAAGTTCTATAAAAAAGGTGTACATTCTTATTAATGTTTCTAATGCATAAGTAGATTCTTCAAGATATTATAAGCTTGGATAGTGGAGAGGAAATCACTAAATCTACAAGAAAATCCAATTTTATGAATATTCTATATAATAATATGATTCTAAATTCATACTGATAACATTTATTTTTCTCGCCTAAAAAAGGTATTTTTTGTATTGGAAGCACACGTTATGTTATGGTAATTAAAAAGTTCATCTGAAGCTGGAAAATGTCTTATGGATATAATTTCATATATTAAACAAAATAAAATCCTTAAATTATCATACAAAAGTTAGTCATTTGTACTGAGAAAACAATAACATTTCATTATGCAAATTCTAGATAATCAGAATCTTTTTTTTGTGCCTAGAATATATTATCAACTTTAACATCATAAAATCCTATCTACTAATAAAAGGCATGAAGAATTTGGTGTTTTATTTCACCAAAATAGGAGATTTCATATTATAGGTATATATTAAGATTATATACCAACAATATGTAACATAAATTAATAATATTTACATATAAATGAAAATATCAACAATTAGCATGCATATATCAAGCATGTATGTAAATATACATATATTTAGCTATACATACATGTATAGAAAAACATATTGCAATACCTATAGCACATATATGGTATGTGATTGTAAATTTTTGACTTTATATTCATCATTATGAAATAAAATATTGACTTGAGTCACAGGATAACCATCTATTACAGCTTTTCTTCTTAATTTGCTACTTTCCCCCCCTCCACTGTAATATATTGCTGCTATTGTTAAAAGCAGACAATGAGATGGAAAAGGTACAATCAAAGCTAATGTTGAACCAAATATACGACAATATATTGCCTAGCCAGAAAAAAAAAATTGTACTAAGGATTAAAAGGACAAGTTTGCCATCAATCAGAAAATGTCATCAGACCTGTTGATGGAAAATTAAACTTGCTTTCTAAAAATAGTCTGCTGTTTTACATGACCCTACCAAAATTATGTTGATACTTGCAATAGGCAAAGCCATTCTTAATTAATTGTCTAATATGAATTTACTCATACTAAATACACATTGCTTAACATATGAGTATTCATTTTAAGGCAGTCTAAGACAGGAGAAACAGTATGAAAGTTTGTATAATTTTTTTAAAAAGAATCATATTAATTTTAAGCAATTGTCCACAAGTATCTAACTATATTTTCCACCACCATATGTCATTACCTTCTTAGTGCCCAAGTGAAAAAGTGGTTGTTTTCTACTTCCCACAGGATTAACATTTCTACTTTGCTTAATTTTTTTCCGTTCTCTTAGTGTTAGGATATATTTTTATAAATAGATAATGGATGCATCAATAGTATTTTCTAAAATATAAAAAGCTGAAATGCCATCTTGTCATTAAATCATTGGTTATGCAAACTAATTTGGGATAAAATTTAGTTAGATTACCTTTGGATACTGTTTGACAGGAATCAGTACTCGTTCTGACAGTTTTATGTTTTTGTTGCTGATGACATCAAGATATTTCTTTTCTTCATCTTCTTTTTTCCCATCAGAACCCTGAAACTTTTCAATTTCTGAAAATGTAACAAAGAGAAGACAATGAAATGACTAGTATTATTAAAATAACTATGTTTTTTATACTTGTCTTCCCTGATTCAATTTTAATAAATGTTTATTTAGTGACTAATATGCTCATCTGGGATGAGGGTTAGGGAAAAATGTAACCTATATAAAGACATATTTATTGTGTTAACTGTTTCTTACAATGGTACTGAATGATTTCAATTGAAGTTGAATCAGTCTTGCACTATTTCTAAAAGGACTTCAGTCTCCTAGGAATAGGAAGTCATAACAGAATATGTGACAGATTATTTGTTTTTGTCAAACAAATAATTCAATTGAACTTCAACCCATTACAACAGAAATAATAAATTCTTAGAATACTGAAAATTTGCACGATCCAACTATTCTCCTAAGCATGACAGACTAAATCAAGGGACTTTAAAGAGTATATCATTTTCTTTTTTATAATTTTATTAAGAAAACAAAAAGGAAATTGTTTCATTCATTCATCCACTGATAATTTCTTTGTTGATTTTTATGTGCTTTACTAATCATTTAAGTGGGGAAAAAAAGACCAATACTTCTGTTCTTTCTGACCTCCAAGGGATTATAGTCTAGAAGGACAGAGATCCAAAGAGATATGTGTGATTATTCAGACGTAGATATAGTTTGTCCAGTTGCTAAGAAAATGTTATGGATCCTATATGAAATATATATGGATACAACTTTAAAACAACTATTTGTTGAGAGATATTACAGGATTCACTATGAATTTTTGAAGATGGTTAATAATGACATCTCTGTTTCAGGGTAAAGCCAATGCATAGTCAGAAATATCTCATAAGATAATTAAAATTTTAAATATTATTAGTAGTAGTAATCATTAGGGAAATAGGTATTGAAATATGCTGGCAAACATCAAAACAACAAACAATTAATATTGTCTTCTGCATCTCTTACTATTACATTCAGATCATTAGCTACATATTCTCAAAATTAACCAGCATTGGTCAAATATACTGAATGCCATTTAATAGGACAAAAACAATTTCACAATGTCAAATGGGTTTAAAAATTTTTCTGAGACAATTTTGTTAGAAAATTTACTTTACTCATTTGTCTTATTTGTTTCATTTAAAGAAAAAATGTTTTGCCACATTTTATATTTTATTTTTGTGTATGGACATCAGGATTCATTTCATATTCTTTCCTAAATTTTACATAATGTGACTATAATGAAATGTGATATTGTAAACACATGACCAAGGTAGAGAGGCATTGTTTTGAAAAGTCACAGTATTAACAGTGTTGAAATGGTTTAGTGGGTAGACTGCTAAATCAGGACATAAGAAGTTTTGAGTTCAAAATTTGTCTCTAATACTTACTAACTGAATAATTCTCTTCCTTTTGTGAGGCAATTGGGGTTAAGTGACTTGTCAGGATCACACAGCTAGTAAGTGTCAAGTATCCAGTGTGAAACCAGATTTGAACTCAGGTCCTCCTGACTCCAGGGCCAGTGCTCTCTCCACTGTACCACCTAGCTGCCCCTTAATAGAATAATTCTCAATAAGTCACTTAAACTCTTTGTATGTCACTTTCACATCCATGAAACATGGATAATATTACCTGAAGTACCTCACAGAGTGTTTGTGAGGCTCAAACACAATAGCTATAAAGTGATTTGCAAATCTTAAAGCACTAGGTCAATAGCAACTATTTTTAGGAACACAGTTATTCTTCCTCACTAATAGTTATTCTTTCTCACTAGCCAAGAAACTCTATAAAAATGTATTGATTTAGATTATACAATATTTCTAAATATGAAGACAAGAGCAATACATTAATTTGGGTATTCATTTGAAGCACCTAGTAATACTGCCTTCTACAGAGGAATATTACCTTGAGTATTGTAATTGTTGCAGGAAAGTAATAATGCTCCTTTGAAGCATCAATTTAGAAATAGAAGGGACCTTACAGGTCACCTATTTCAATCTCATTCAATTAAATTAAATTTAACAAGTATTTATCATATTCTTACTATGTGTTAACCATTATGCCAGGTGTTGGGGATACTTAGGCAAAAACAATACAGAATAAACTTTCTATTAATATCAATCTCTGTGTTAGGAACAAGGGACATATAGACATATAAATGCATTTGAAATATACAAAATATATAAAAAATAATATTGCGGAAAAAGGAACAATACTAGGTGGTAGGGGGAAAAAAGGTATTTTATAGGAGGTGGTACTTGACATAAAGGCCAGCTAGATGGCTCAGTGGATATAGCACTAGACCTGGAGTCAGAAGGCCTGAGTTCAAATCCAACCTCAGATACTTCCTATCTGTGTGACTCTGGCCAAGTCATTTAGCCTCTCTTTAGCTTAATCCATTGGAGAAGTAAATGGCAAACCACTCCAGCATTTTTGCCAAGAAAACCTCATGGATAGTATGGTCCACAGGGTCAAGAACAGTAGGACATGGCTGGATGACTGAACAACAACTTGAAAGAAGGCATGATGGAAGCTAGGAGTTCCAAGAGTTAGAAAGGAGATAGTACAAAGCATGGGAGATAATAGTCCGTGACATGGTATCAAAATGGAAAAAGGAATTTCCTCTAAGAGGATCAGCAGAATAGGCCACAGAACATAGGAGTGTGTGTGTGTGTGTGTGTGTGTGTGTGTGTGTGTGTGTGTGTGTGTGTTTGCTCATATTATGCCTGGGTATAATATATACTACATCTGGAAAAATAGGATTGTAAATAGGTGATTAAGAGTTCTAACCAGCTGACAGAGGACTTTTTGATTATAGAGTTACTAGAGAAGCAATGAAGCTTTTGGAGTAGGGGATTGACATGTTCAGATTTTTTAAAGGATATCTCTTTGGTAACTATGTCCAGTATGACTATGAAGGGAAGAAGAGAGTGGATAATCTGGATGAAGGAAGGTTGTTAGAAACTCAGAATGAAATAGTACATATGAGAACTGATGCTTTCCTGAAGTAAGATGGTTGGTTGAAGAGAAGAAGATGAATGCAAGATATATTGTTGAGATAGACCCAATAAGATTTGGCAACTAATGAGAAATGGAATATGACTGAGAGTTGAGGATTACTCTGAGGCTGCAAAACTGAGTGAATTGACCTCCCCTAACCCAAATTCTATACTTAGACAAATCTTATTTTGAATAGGTGTTTGTTATTATTTGCTCTTGTCTTTTTTTCTCCCCTTTACTTTTGGTATGATGTGATTTTGCACTTGTCAACCAAACATTGTAAATAATAATTATAATAATGATGGGGATGATGTTAAGCATTTATACAATACTTCATACATAATACCTCATTTTATCCTCTTCCAAGTCCTGTGAGGCAGACATTATTTTTGCCCCTATTTTACAAATGAGGAAACTGAAGTAGACAGAGCATAAAATAATTTTCCTAGAATAACACAGCTATTAAATATCTGAACTTTGTTTTGAACTCAGGTTTTCCCAACTCCAAATTCACAACTCTATCCACTGCATCATAAGCTGTTCTAAATAGTGGTACTTTGCTGCCTCTAGGTGGTAGTACCTTACCACCTCTTCCAAAAGGACTTATACATTCTTACTTCATCTATCTCCAGTCATAAATTCAAGTGACTGACTATTACACATATCTCATAGTAGTAGACTGATATAGCATTGGCAGGCCTGGATTAAAACTCTAGTGCTGTGTGAGAGGGTTAAATGACTCTTGGAAGTGATAACTGCACCAACTCAAACGTATGAGATATTGTAATAGCTTCTGTAGAATAGAAGATAAACTTTTTTTTTTCCTGGGCTGCTTCTTGTATCTAGAATATAGTATTTACTGGAGAAGTCAATAGTTACATCAAAGAATACTGATAATTTATATGAATTTCATTTGGATCTTGAACAAAAAATTGTACTCATAAGCTTGATCAATTAAAAAAAAATGGAAATAGTATTTGATAGGATCAAAGTTTTAGACCTAAGAGGGAATTTAGTGTTTATATACTCAAATCTCATTATTTAATGGCAGAAGAATCTCAGTCCAAGAGGGAAAATGCAGCTCTCCACATTGAATCTTTTACTACATAGTGTGAAGTTGCTTAAATTCTGACTAAACAAGTTGCTGATATAACACACAGCTTTAGGTACAGATTGTATTCATGGATTGCTATGGAAAGAATTGAGTGAAATTGCTGTAATGGGTTCAAATAGATATTGGGCATAGAAATGTTTAGTAAGAACTGTGGATCATTTTTTTTCAGCCAAATTATTCTATTTCATATTATGGTCAATTATTGTTTTTCCTATACATGTCTAACAGGTCTATTCCTGAACAGTTTATTTATATTTTTAGTGTTGAATTTAGTAGAAAGATGACACCAATACATCATGTTATTAACCTCCTAAATTTTAAAAATGTTTTAAGTGTGAGCTATAATTTCATAATTATAGTTTTCTGAAAATATGTATTTACTATGCATGTATTTCTAGGTTGAAATGTAAGCATATTCAGTCTACACACACACACATATAAACATATACTTGTGTGTGTATTTTTTTTCAATAAAGGTCCTGTGCCTACTGACTACAAGCAGTGTGTGACAAGGGCCTACTCCCCAACCCCTTCATCCCAATAGGAAAATGTTCAGAATTGATTTTCTCCTTTTTTTCCAAACAATTTGAGGAATTAAAATCAATTAAATTTCTGTGGAAAAATTTATTTTCTTTTTTCTATATTTGAAACATTTTTATTTCATTAATTTTTTTACATCTACTTGTAAAATTTTTGAGTTCCAAATTTTTTCCCTCCCTCCCATTCCTCCTGGAGGAGGCAAACAATTTGATATTGATTACATATGTGAAGTCATGCAAAATATATTTCTATATTAGCTGTGTTTAAAAGAAACACAGGCCAAAAATACTTGTGATTAATAAAAAAGTAAAAAAAATGATGCTTTAATTTGCATTAAGAGTTCATCAGTTCTATCTCTGGAGG